TCGGTGCCTACATTTGGGGAGCTTTATATCCAGGCTAAATAATATTTTAAAGTTGCAGGGGAGTCACATGGCTGGTTTAGCTCGGAGCAACCAACAACGGGGTGTAGGCACAGGGTCCAGCGTCATCTGGGCTTTGGCTGAGCGCGAAGGCGGGGGCCAGCCATGGAGCCAAGGGGCCGGGAGGACGCCTGCGGAGGGGCTCGCAGCTGGTCCCGGGTTCTGCCTGCACCTGTGATCTCATTATGGGCCACATTCCGGAACCGCCAACCAGCCAGGGCTTTAGTGACCATGCTGGAGGGCGAGGACAGAGCCCCGTGAGCGCCCCAAAGAGAAGCACCCTCCACTGCCTCGGGCTTCGACACGGGCAATAGCATGGTGACCACTGGACATTCATCCTCCCAAATGGAGAGGAACCTGAGTCCAATGGCTTGTGCCATCTTGTGCCACCTTCAACGACCTTCGCCTGGAAGGAAAACTCTGCGATGCCATCATCAGTGTGGATGGCACTGAATTCAAGGCTCACAAGAACATCCTCTGCAGCTGCAGCCACTATTTCAGGTCAGTGCTTGGGACAGGAGGGGATGGGGACAAACAGTATTTCCCAGGCTGTCTCACGCTGCCTTCGTGTATCTGCAGCACTTACACCGGCACTAAAACTCTCGTCCAGCGGTTCCCTGTAGTTCCAGTACCTCCCTGTTCACCAGAACTAATCCCCGACCTGGTACCCAGCAGCAGCTCTGGAAGCGGTGTCTGACGAACCCCTGGACGCGGTGCAGGGCTGGAGTGTGGCCAGCCTGGCTCACCTGCCATCAGGCGGGAGGTTTTCCTTCCCCACACACCGCTATGCCCTGGTGTTCTTGCTGAAGCAAGGTGGCCACTTGCCCGGTTGCACTCTGTCCACAGCCGGAGGCTGTGACTCCTGTTTAAAACAATCGGCTAGTAAACCACATGGCCTCCCAGCACGGCCACTGCCAGGGCCAAACTGGTGCCGGGGGAAAGAGGCACAGGGGTAGCAGGGTCAGGGATTAATGCAGCAAAGCTGTTTTTCCCTCCAGCAATGTTTTGGTTTTCTTCAGGGCTTTGTTTACCAGCGGCTGGAACAACGCAGAGAAGAGAGTCTATAAAATCCCCGGCACGTCACCTGAAATGATGAAGCTCATTATCGAGTATGCCTACACCAGGACAGTACCCATCACAGCTGACAATGTTGAAGCTTTGCTAATAGCAGCAGACCAGTTCAATGTCATGGGCATCGTCCGGCTGTGCTGTGAGTTCTTAAAATCCCAGCTGTGCTCAGAAAACTGCATCGGCATCCACAGACTCACAGATCATTACTACTGCCCCGACCTGCGGGAAGCAGCCTGGACGTTCATCCTCCATCACTTCGAGGAGATGACCACGGTGTCCACAGAGTTCCTCCACCTCTCTGTCAACGAGCTGAAGAACATCATTGAGAAAGACGAGCTCAATGTGAAAGAAGAAGCTGCCGTCTTCGAGGCTCTTGTGAAATGGATTGCTCACGACCCGCAGAACAGGAGGCAGCACATCACGGTCTTGCTGAGCAAGGCCGCCAGCCCCACCACGCTGCTCACGAAGACGTGAGCTTGCAGAGCGCTGGGCCATTGCTACGCTGGGGCGCGGGCCAAAGATCCTGCGCTGGGGCTGGGGCAGACCTTTGAAGTGCGCATTTCCTCATGTCTAGAGCTGAAGCTGAACTGTTCCTCACACCCAGGAAGGGCCAAAGTTCACATGGGACGACATTCTCTCCATGTACACAAAGCTGATGAACGTTGGCCCAGACCAGCTGTACACGCAAACAGCAGCAGGCAGCAGGGCAGTCTCATTCTCCACACGGGAAAGCACCGTGCCAAAGAGCGGCAGACTCCCTGCCACGACACTGAAATATTTACCCTCGCACCACCCTGTCCAGA